AAAAAAAGAAACAATCCAGATGACCTGACTGAACATTGATGGATTTTATACCTGGATTATTGAGCATGGACTTGGGTGTTTTGAACCACTTTGGCATGACTGTTTCAGAGGAGTTGACGGGGGAGAGGGCAGGCCCCAGAGAGCATCTTAGCACCAGCAAACTGTTTTTTTTTTTCTATTACTGAGTATGCTGTTTGTGGGAATCAGTTTGTTTGGTGGCTCCTCAGATTGAAGAAGTCCTTTGGATGAAGAACGAAACATCTCAGCAAAAAGATAAACCGCCCAGATGACCTGACTGAACATTTTACTATATGTATGTTTTTTCTTTTCTAAAGTTGTGGGGCATGAAGACAGACAAAAATGAGAACATAATTTTGTTCATTAGTTATTTTGCATTGGCACCCTTAATTAAAAAAGATGCTAAAATGATAAACCCATTTTTGTTTTTGTAACTAGCTTAATATCTGGCACACAAAAACATGCAAAGTGTGACTTGTTAAAATATTCCACTTTGAATTGGTCAAAACTGTACGAGCTTATAAAGCTAATTTTGTAAACCCGAAAATTTTGACTTTTGTGGAACTCAGCGTGGCTCATTAAAGTTGGCTCCAAAAAAGTGAATTGAATGAATTTTTACTGAAGAGGGTCTCAAATCTGCCTCAAGGTTTCCAGCTGACCTCCATGACATCTTTTATTGGTAGCAGAAAGTTCATTACTGTTGTTTCCTGACAGAAATATTGACTTGGAGAGTCCTTGACTCAAAGCACCTCCATCATTGTGGGAAATACAACTGAACATTCCAAAAGTTACACAATTATTCAAATTATGTTTAGTTCAAAAGTCCTATTTGCATGAATGTGAACACCATTTGTACACATTTATTAATTTAGATTTTTTTAATTTTATGTTCCTTAGAAAGCTGTTTAGTGGAAAGTTCAGTTTAACTTACCATAAGGTTATTAGGTGCCGGTCTCTCCTTGGGGTTCTTCCGCATACTGCAAAAGAGAAGCAGATTTTATCCAACTATTACTTGCTGTGGTCTTTCATGCCCACGTTTTTATTTATTTATAAATTACTACATTAAAAGAGATTTGATATAAAACCATTCAGGCCACAGAAACGGCAAAAACGACTGAACACTTGTGCAAAACAGTTAATTATTTCAGATAATTAGAACATTTGTGCGCATGCCCTCCATATTGTGTATGCATACGCGCTCTGTCAGTGCAACCTGCACTGGGGCCTGTGTGCAGCTAATTGTGAAGCAGGTTCATGCATCACAATGAAGGGGCCGTGAACTTCTAAGAATAGACCGACAGCGACGTAGCAAGCCTGCGCCAAGCAGGACAGAGCACCTGTGCTCAGTCCGTCCTGTGAGAGAGGTGTCCTGTTTGAGTAAATACAGCAGCCATGGGGGACAAACAACAGCTGGCAAGGCCTGCAGCTGAGTGCTCAGCGCACATATGTACACACTGTACATGCATGCGGTTTGGGATTGCATGCAAATGTTTGCCTAACTCTAAAGGTTACAAGTGGCTGATGAATCAGAGGCAAACACAGGGTAAACATCATTTTTGACCCAACGCATTAGAGAAACCAGGCAAGGTAAAATAAAACTTCTTTCTATTCAAGACTGGAAACTATAAGTATCATAGCTAAAAGCTAATTAAACCACAATGCATTAACACACACTAGCACATGGACTGTATCCCCATTGTGTGCCGTTGTGCCTTTAATTCATTCAAGGCAATTAGGCTCCTATAAATGCAGCTTGTGGTCTCTAAATGGAGCCAGAAATGTTTGTTTTATTGGTGCAGGTAAACACAAAGATATGCAAACAAAAATCCTAACCCTTGTGGGCCTTTCTGACAACAAAACCATTAAAACCAGTTACCGGTTTGACTCACCACTGAGTGACGAAGTGAACAAACGTCTCGCTGAACTGGCCCACAGGAAGCACAGGAGGGTCCTGTGAAGAGAAACAAAGCACTTCAGAGAACATGCAATATTTAGATTTAAAAATAAAGACTTTAAAATGTTTAAACAGTGTGACACAAACAGTAGTGTAAAACCTAAACATAACGTGTTTATTGTGTGACAAAGTAATAAAGTTTACCTTGAATGCGCAGGCCAAAATGAGAGTATTTAAAACTAAAACATTCTTTGTAGTTGACATTGTTCATTCTAAAGTATTAATAGTTTTATTTTGAGAAAATGTTGGCAGTGCGAATATTTTAATCTTTAATTGTGACCGTTTTTGTTGTGAGTTTTACAAACTGGCTTTTTTATATATCTGTAAGCCATAATCAGCAAAATTACAGGAAATAAAGTCTTGAAATATTTCACTCTATGTGTAATGAATTTATGTAACTTATAAGTTTCACATTCTGAAATGATAGACAAGAAAAATATAACTTTTTCCACAATATTCTTATTTTTTAGATGCACCTGCAATATAAAAAAGTATCTCATGCAGTTATAGAAAGTTGTGAGCTCCACAATGTCCAGAGTGTTTTTTTTTTTTTTAATGATGAAGCCTTCCAGATGGGAAGAAAAACATATTTTTAAATTTTGCAGCTTTTTGCTTTCTTGCTAAGTAATACTTTGTTTTCTTTTATCTTTTACAAGATGTCCCACTGTGTAAAAAAAACAGAACATTTCAATGTTATTGTGATGTATTTATTTATTAAAAATGTATTTTTACAAAAAAAAAAAAAAGTCTTGAATGAAATTGCATTATAAAATAGGCCAATAGGCCAATGTTTTAATGGTATTTTTTAATCTAATTTTAAAAGCACACTTACAATTATGTATTGGTTCCACTTTAAATAACAATAATAATAAAAACATTAACATAAAATTACAGCCTTACAACAAATTGTGCTGTTCTGAATCACACAAAACTACAACATGATCAATGAATAGGTCCTATGATAGAGTTTTGATTTGAGCACGTAGTTTAGACTCACTGCAGTCAGTTTAGGCTCAATGAACCAGATCATGTAAAACATCTGAGCCAGACTGACCCTCTAATCATTGATTCACCTCATTACTTCATCCTTTTTCCTACTCTTCCTCTGTTTTGTTCTCCAAACATTCAGGCTGCATCGCCTTCTTTCACCTTCACCAGAAGGATCCAACAGAATAACAACAAGATCGTGATAGAAAACAAACGGAACAGACATTTATTTCTGAATGATCTTCCATCTTCCCTGATAAAACAAGATTAAAAATACTACACAAGAGCATGTGTGCTATCAGATAGAGGTAATAGCCTAAAAACAGATAATTGTTGGACAAATAATAGCTTTAAGTATAGATAAATGCTAAAAATATTTAGATATGCTTTAAAAAAATCATAAAGCCTGGGTCCACAACCAGACATTTATTCAAATGCCATGAATTAAACCTCTTCACAACTGAAGCCCCGCTGCGCCATTAAAAACACCTCTGGGCAGTGTTCGCCATTCCTTAATGCTCCGATCGGCAGGCTCTCGCGAGGCATGATGCATGAACCCATTTAAATTAACAAAGGAATGAGTTCCTTCTAATCTCACTGCACTTCACAGCCGTGTCGCCGCTTGAATGAACAATATATCATAGCACATACGCAAACCTGCACCCACAAACAAATGCCCTTGAGCACCGAACACTACAAGCCTATACGCTGTTTTGAGGTGGAAACCCAAACAAATTGCAACCACTGGATTAAGATGTGCGCACACACAAAGAACAATTAAACTTAAAGTATGTTCTGTGTCTTTACTGAATGAATTAATATGTCATATTGATCAGATTTGACGAGTCCTCGTGTACACCTTTCTCACACATCTGCATGCACCTTGATGCGCCTTTTTACAGATGCAAACACACATTATGCATGTATTCATGTTTCCAGCTGAGTGCAGCACCGCTGCAGCTTTGATGTGGCAGCAGGCGAAGGCACAAAAGACAAGCAGGCTGATGAAAGTGACTAGTCTGCTTAAATTATTCCTCTGGTTGTCAATTTGCTCCACTATAAGGCAGCATGCACACTACAAGGGTACAAGGGTACGAGTAAATATACATGTCATTGCCATGAAGCAATTATTAGGCAAAATTAGATCAGTAATTACAGGCTTGAAAATAAAGTGGGAGTTCTTTATTAGTGAGACCACTTGCTATTCAACAAATAGAGGAGAGAGGCGCATTAATGAGGGAAGACAGCGGACAGATGGTAGGGAACAACTGCAGAGAACTTATTTAAGTCCCTGGCTCAACAGTGCGTGCAAAGATCCTGCGCCAAACCAACTACAAGAAAAGAGGAGGTAAATTCATGTAGATTTAAAGAACTCATAATCCCTAATCACAAACATTCGTCAGTTATCATAAAGTGTCTGTTTTTGTCACTTATGGAGACACTTATTGAGACACCAGCATCGTTTACTGCAGGGGTATCCAAAGTGTGGCCCTTGGGCCATTAGTGGCCCTTGGAGTGATTTTGTGCGGCCCACAGCTGCAGTTTAAGAATGTCATAATTTTGGCCAGCAGGCTTAAGAGGTTGATGCACTTTCTGCAAATTAGTTGATAATCCTTTTTTATATAATGTTTAGGTTTAAAAAAAACGGATGAAAAGAAAATCTTCTCAAAATGAGCAGTATTAAGCAAAATACAAAACTTTGGCTATAATCTTTTTATGTTCACTTCATGGTACAAAGCACCAAAACCTTTACTGATTTCTACCAGAAAGAGACTTTTGGATATTGATTCATAGAACTTGGCTAAATGTTACAGTTGATAAAATAAAAGGGAAATTTGAAAATTTTAAATATAACATGGCATCATCTGCATACAAGTTGATCAACTTTATCAAACCTTGAATCTGTTGTGGCGACTGACACCAGGATGATTTTTCAGAACTTCCTTCAGCCCTTTGGGCAGTCCATGGTCTGAAAGGCTGACTGACCCTCTCTTTAAAGGATACTTACTCAAATTATGCTTTTGTTGCTGAGAACAGACTAAAATGAACTTTCCAAACACAAAAAAAACAAAACAAACATAGACCCAACAAATCAAATAAATAAAAATATTTTTAATAAAAAATATAAGCTTAGTGTTTATGAGGCTTTTAATGTTTTGGATCTGCAACCATTTAAAACTATTTCACTACCAAAATTAGTAAACTTTTGTCTTTTCTCCAAAATATTGTTCACGTTGTTGAGTTAAATTCATATTTTTTGTGGTCCATGAGTCCTTTCATCTTGATAGCATTGTCCCACATATGAAAATGTTTGGACACTCCTGATTTACTGGGATTTAAAATTTTATTTTAGTAAACTCAAATAAACGATCTCATGACACGTTGATCAAATAATCTAATTTAATTCATGTTCTGTGTGAAGTTAGTTCAGGATCTGAAGCAGAGAACTATGAGCATGAATTATTTATTTGTGTGAATGGAACTTTAAATTAGTTCTTGAGAAAGGACCTTTGCACAACGGTGCACAAAACTTTAGCTACAACTTCATTAATGAGCCAGAACCCTTTATGATTTTGTCATGGGAGTGTCCAAACCATCTTAAGAGAGCAAGAATATGTTGACACCTGCACAGGAGCTCTCCTCTCACATAAAACATGCCCATGTCTTAAAAAAAAAACAACAAAAAAAAACGCCTGTGATAAACAGTAACTACTGAAAAATTGATTCAAATATGTCTGTCTTCATTTCAGAGTTGTAGACTAAATCATAAACATAGGCTTAGAATACAGTTTTCAAGGCTTGCACACAAATAAGATGTGATTTTCAAAAATTGCAATTTTTTTTTAATGCAGCTACATAGCAACTAAAACATAAACCAGCACTGCAAGAAAAGAAACAACATTTTCATTGAAGTTTCCCTTTATTCTGACTTTTTGTGGGTCAGTGACCAGGAAGCTATTCATTCAACCTTTATTTGTAAATGAGTACACGTAGTTCAATGAGACTGACCTGTATAAATCAAGGTTGAATGAATAGCTTCCTGGTCACTGACCCACAAACAGTCAGAATAAAGAGAAAATTCAATGAAAATTGTGTTTATTTTCTTGCAGTGTTGGTTTATGTTTCAGGTGCCAACTAGTCTCCAACAGTTGCAGCCCAGTTAGATACTACATTATGATACTAAATAAACTTAAATGCACCTGGATGATAAGTGTGACTCAATATCAAAATGTCCCTAATTAAAGGAAAGTCAAGCCCAAACAATAAAATTAATTTGAATCACCTCATAGAGTGAATACCTTTAAAATTTCCTTCAGTTCACTCTATATCAGGGCTATTCAAATGGCGGCCCACGATGACTTTATTAAAAAAAAAATAATAATAATAATAATTTTGGGGGGAAGTTCTGGTTTCTGTTTATTGCATTTATGGTTTAATGCAATAAAATAAACAAATTTAAAAGGTAACAAATCATTGTAATACTTGGTTTATTTACATAATGACTAATTGCTGGATATCTGGCCCCAGAGCTGCTGGCTTTCAGAAACTGTGGCCCCCTGAGCAGTTTAGTGGAACAGCCTTGCTCTATATAATATCTGCTGCTCCACTCATCTTGATATTTCTCAAAACAAAAGTAACTTCTAGAAGTCCAACTACTCCAGTACTCGAACAGAGATGTATTTGTGTGGGTCATTAAGGATATTGACTACTTATGGACTTCTACCTGTTAGGTAACTCCCCAACCTTTACAATGTCTCGCATTGACTTCATCTTCCCAGACAGAGCCTATCCTCTCGTCTCTCTCTCTCGAAAGCACCATCGAATTAGCTAGGACAGTAAGGCTGTGCTGCCTCACCAGGGACAACACAGAGCAAGCTCTCTCTCGCCTCAAGCCGAGACAGCAAAGGGCATAGGAAAAATAGTTTGAGTGATCGCTACGTCTAGCTGACTAATGAACAGTTCAGCCCAGGTCAATCCATTACAACCAAAAGCATTTAATTATTAATTACCACCAATCTATAGTCAGTTAAGGACAAGTGACACTGTATGTTTAATGTGCAATATGGCTAGTGATGGGGGCACTGTTGTTGAGACATTTTGGCTATTAGCGAACGTCAGCAAAAAGCTCAAGGTAAAAAAAGACCAAAGGAAATTGTGACTCCTGGTTATGAGATTGTAGGCAACGAGGGCTTACACGCAGTATTTATGCATGACACAGAATCAAAATGGGTTTATTTTGCATATCAGCCTGATTTATTACGAAGTATTTCATCAGATAACCATCTTGAAAGGACAAAGGGAAACTCAAATACATTTAAGATTAACTTGTTGATGGAAATAAAAAGAGGGCAATGCAGCCAGGTAATGTTTGACAATTACTACATAACATGCACCACTGTATTATGTTGCTGTTGCTTATTTTCATTTACTGATACTCAAATTTTTCAAAAGCATACAATAATAAATCAAATATATTTCTCTTCTTATGAGACTATCAGTTTTTATTTAAACAAAATAAGTGAAGTAAGGTGAGTAATCCTGGTAAAACACGATTTTGGCTCTACGGTACACGAGCTTCAGATTTGTGATTTTCTCTGTCTGTCATTCATGACAGGTCCAACCTCTACAGTAATGTGCATGTGCATACGTCTATTGCCTGAGGCAGTTGCATGGGGTGAAGGGTTGAGTGAATGGGGAACAAAGCTGCCTGAGTGGTTTGCTTCATTAGGAAACAAAATATAAGCTTTTCGGGCCATTAGCACTGACTTTAGATGCAAAAGCACATAAGACGACGACTCACCTCATCAACGATGCATTGCAGTAACTGGAGTGGCTGAGGAGAAGATGCAGAAGGGAATGGGGGGTAGCTTATATGAGATTCCTTCAATAGGGGAAATCAGTTGTGTAATAAAAAATACCAAGATTAATCAAATGCAGCAAGCTCAGGCAAAGCCAACATTTAGCTTTTCAGGGGTTTTATTACTCCATGATGGCACCTAATGTAATACCAACAGTTTGGGCATAATCTAATAATTTGCTGCAAAAATCCAATCTGAGTGTGTGTTTTTTTTAAATGAGAGAGTCAACCAAGAGTGACAGACTATATCCAGAGTAGGAGACCTCTAGCTTCTTACCTCCTATTCTGCTGCAATAAAACTTACCATTAAAGATCCTTGGTTTTTCTGAATCTGTAGGGCAAGACGGAGAAAAAGAGACGAGGCAATATGTAATTAGTGTGTCATAATCAAGACGATGCACTTGGACACATTATGATCACTAGGAGAAAATTATCGCTTTCCTGTTGGCAATTTGTGAGTACGTACTAACACCATTTACATAATGAAAACACACAAATGTTAATGGCCTTGCTCTCATTTGTGGAGAATGGGGGTAAAAGATCCACTAATGCTAATTTTCTGAGCATTTCCTTATTCCTGCCCTCCAGGTTTTCTCAATGTGCTGGGACGCAGAATCACTGTACATCAGCACTGAAGGAGCTTTGCAATGAGCACCTCCAAGTTATTCTGTTTTACTGGTGTTGCAGGGCTTTTCAACTGGCCACAATACGCTGGCAAGAGGTTGTCACATGTTTTAAGAAGAGATACAAGAGAAACGAGGGTCTTCAAAAACACTAGTGTTTGTGGGGAAAATGACAAGAAAAATACAAATAACTACATTTAATTTAATTACAAAAAACACTGTAATTTATTTTCTTAAAAGTAACAAACTAGGAACTTGCGGTTAGAAAAATTTGACACATTTTATTGTTTAACGTTTGACACTACACAGAACAGCAAATTCTCCATTTAACCCTCCACACACCCCCAGGGTTGAATTTGCCATGACAACCATTTTAATTTCTAAAATCCTAAATGTATGAATTCATCACACAGAATAAGTGATACAAGCCTTAAAAGCTGGGCTCAGCTAAACAGCCTGCTCATTTCTCCAGGTCTTTTGACAGTGCATTAGAGCACTTATTGATTCACTCAATTAAACACAGGTTTTCACAGTCTGTAAATACCAAGAGACTCTTAAACTGCCCCTGTATCCAGTTTTGCCTGATTCAGACACATTAAAGGCAAGTATGGAAAACTAATTTGTTCAGAAATAATTACTAAAACAAAATTCTGTGCTGCTTCAGAGGTTTAAAGTGAATGGAGAGAGGCAAACTTATTTAAAACAAAACTGAGGACTTTTCTATTTCTATCAGTGACTGCACAGTACAGTAGTCCCTTGTTTATAATGGGGGTTTACGTTCTCAGCTCCCCGCGATAAGTGAAAAACCGTGAAGTAGGAACAGTAGTACAGGTAGTAAGTATTAATTTATTTTAGTATGTATATATATATATATATATATATATATATATATATATATATATATATATATATATATAAACTAGGGCATTAACAGAGTACACGAGTAATCTACACATCAATTGCTAGGACATCTATCGAGGTTAAAAATGTTACGTCGAGTATCCGTAGTGACGTTATATTATGTGACCACGTATGACCGTAGGGGGCGGTGTTGCACTGTTGCAGGTCACAGAGTACAGTGTAACACCGGGTCCAATCCACCGAACCAGTTTCGGTTGAAGTTTTGTTTTTGACGTGCTACGTTTCTTCACGTTTGCAGTTTAATAATAATAACTAATAGTTTAGTTTTTCCTGTGACTTATTTGCAGTATGATAAATGGTAGGAGCATAATATACGCTCCCAATGTTTTGTTGGGTCTTTTTTTTTGTAAATAATTACATTTTTTTGCGGTTTTATTTATTTATTTATTTTTGTATCTTGAGATCTATGACGTCATCAAATACTCGAGATCTACTCGGGTTTTATTGTGTTAATGTTGAGTTAAAAAATTATATACTCGTTCAACCCCTAATTATATATATTATATATATTTATTTATATATACATGTATAAATATATATATATATATATATACACATACATACATATACATATATATGTATATTAAAATATATATATATTATTTATATATATAAATTAAATATATATATATATATATATGATATTTTATTATTATTATTATATATAAGAGTTCATCCTCAAATGGCGTCCCGATTGAGTTTGTTGATTCCTATAAATATTTGGGTATCTTGATCGATTCGCATCTCTCTTTTAAGCTCCATGTAGAAAACTTGGTAAAGAAACTGAAAGTTAAACTGGGTTTCTTTTCCAGAAACAGATCCTGTCTAATGCTGAATGCTAGAAAACGCCTTGTATCTGTGACTTTCCTTCCCTCCATTGATTATGGTGACATTATTTACATGAACGCTCCTACAAGAACCCTGCAGATGTTGGATGCTGTCTATCATGGCGCACTAAGATTCATAACTGGCTGTGATTATCGTACCCACCACTGCACTCTGTATTCACTGGTTAACTGGTCACCATTAACTTCACGCAGACTCTCTCACTGGTACATTTTCATCTTTAAATCACTTCTTGGTCTGCTGCCTTCATACATCTCCTCCTACATGTCTCTGCGTGAGTGCAGCTACAGCGTGTGCTCTCAGGACATTATTACCTGCAGTGTTCCCTCAGTGAGGGCTGAACTATGCAAAAAGGCCTTCTCCTACTCCGCTCCTGTTTGCTGGACTATCTTACAAAAAGATCTGAAGCTCTGGACCTTGACCTCTCTTAGTGGCTTTAAGAATCTGTTGGACTCCTGGCAGGGACCAATGCAGACATGTTCCTGTTTTTAGTTTTCTACATTCACCTTAGAATCTAGCTGTTTTGTTACTTTGTTTTTTTAGCCATCTTATTTGTAAAAAAAATAAAAATATGAATGCCTTTTTAGAACTGTCTATTGTTGTCGCTGTTGTCCATTCTCATCTTTCTTTGTTGAAATCAGGTCTCTCTTGTAAATGAGTCCTCGGGGCTCAATGGGATCTACCTGTCTAAACAAAGGTTGAATGAATGAAAGAAAAAAAAAAAAAAAAAAAAAAATATATATATATATATATATATATATATATATATATATATATATATACACACACCACACACACATATAAGGGGATGCTTATCCAAGTCATAAAAATTGTTTTATGTGATGAATAAAGTATTTTCTAATAAAGACAGGGGTTTTTTCGCTGTCTGATCTAAGAGGAACAAAGATAAGCTCTGTGTATGATAATGTATTTACTTTTGTGTGTGTGTGTGTGTGTGTCACTAATTGATAAATGTAGCTATGTAGAACATCAGCCTCAAAGTTTTTCAGCTTTTCTCATTACTTGAAAATATCACAGTGGGCTCAGCATGAAAACAGAAGTCACAAAATCGATTTTTAGATGTCAAAGGATTTTTGTTAATTTTGACACACAAAGAATAAATACTCAGAAGCTTGTTTCCCTCCCTAAAAAAAACCTCAAGACATTTCTGTAAATCTAAAATCCTAAATTTGTACTTACAGTATATAAAAATACAAGTACTAATGATTTATTAGAAGTTAGTCACATTTTAATAATGTGTAACAGAAGACAGAATTATCAAGGAGATCATGGGCAATTACAAGCAGATCAACACTTCGGCCACTCTAAAAATGTAAATATATGCAACAAATATGAGTCAAACTTACAAATGTTCATCTTTAGCCACAAAGATCTTTACAACAATGATGCTTTTCTAGTGAAAAAATAGGTTTTTGCCACTTGACTGATAACAGAATCATCAACTACGTCAGGAACCTAAAAATGCTTAACAGGTGTTCAGTGACAGTAAAATGTAAACAAGCATTGAGTACTGCGACGCTAACTTACAACAAAGATAAAAGGGATAACATGTAGTTACTAAATTTGTAACTTTATCAGAAACTGGAAAAAAAAAAGTGCCTACCCAAAAATAAAAATAAAATGTCATCAGCATTTACCGTAAAAAATGCTGTGTCTGAAAATATTAAAGCAAACACTGAAGCAACCATAAGAAAACCCTCCCTTTACATGTATCGGAAAGAGAAAAATTAGCACAAACAAAGCCTTGCTAGAGCTTGACAGATGCAGTAATGAAGTTTCTGAAACAGACGAGAAAAGAAAGAAGAAAAAAAGAATGATATTATGTTTCATGCAGACATTCATTCAAATATGAGAAGTATGACAAAATGAAGAGAAACAAAAACAACAACCGAGCAAAGCAAAAAGACAACAAATCAATCAGAAACAATAGCGCTGGCGGCTGTATACACACATCACATCAGGTCTGGTGTCTTCAAAGACTTTCAGAGCGAGCCGCGCAAAACTCCATTAACTCCTGACAAAGAATGCAAATGAATCCCAACATGTGGTGAAGAGGAATTAAAGAGACCATCTCTAATCATAGCAAACATGAGGTGATGACTACACACACACACACACACACACACAAGAATGATTGAGATTATGTGCCGACTTAACAAAAGCTACAAATAAAAGCAAGTGAAAAGCACACACAGCTCCTCAGCGTTTTAAAATATGAACGACACAAGCTAAACACAATATTGTCTTTTGTCAAAAGTGCAAATTACAATCACTTCGAAGCTAAACTCAACTTTACAACTCATCCAGTGCATTTGACAACTCTACAACACAAATTCAGACGTCGCTCCTACTTTATCGCTCCTCGTTTAACCAACTTTCTCAGACTACTGACAAATTACAGAAATTCCTTCTTTGAAGTGTAGCAAGATTTTTTTTGTTTTTGCAGAAACAGCTGTGCCAGTATATGAAAAAAATGACAGCCCAGGCCCGAGGACTTTGGCTGGCTGCGCTTGACGAGCTGCATCCAAGTACTCTCGCCACATAGTTCTGCTACAGCCTGCAGGTGAATGGTTTAGATTGCCAGATGGAGTTAGAGGGGGAAAATTAACACCAAAATAAAGAAAAGTGTGTGAGGGCCAAGACAACTGAAAGGTATTCCTAATTTTTGTCATTTTCAAGTAAATGAGAACTAAATTCACTGTAAGGACGGTGAGTGAGAGGAGCAACAGCTGATCAAAATCAGCCAAACCCAAGGCTCAAGTCACCAACACACACTTCACATCAAACTGGTAAAACGATTATTCCAACATCTACAGAACATCATTAAAAGAGCTGCACAAAGTCTTGCTCTGTTGGATGTTTGCTTTCACTGATAGTCAGAGTTTAGGAATTAGCACAAATGATGAAAATTAATCAGTCT